GCTACGCGGATGCTGCGCCGGGGGGAGCTCTGTTACGGACGCACGTCTCGTCGAGTTGTATATATTAGATGATCTTAAGTAAATTATATATAATAAGTAAGTTTAGTTAAATGAATGTGGTTAAAGCTTAGAATTAAATGATACAACCTATGGGTGTATTTATTCCCCTAGTATTAAGATAATTTAAGTTATAGCAAATTAAATTATTGTGAGGGGTTGGATTTTATTTGCTATGGTTTTCTATAAGGTATTGCCTCGCTAAGGAGGCTTAGGTAGCTCTCTGTATGGTATTGCTTCACTCAAGGAGGCTTATGTGGGTTTTCTATATGGTATTGCCCGAGTCAAGGGAGCTTATGTGGGTTTCTATACGGTATTGCCTCGATACAGGGGTGTTTAAAATGTAAAATGTTCGACTACCTTCATGTTAACAATAAAAATGTATCGGAGCGAGACGGCGCTGGTTTACGCGGGATCTTCCGTCTCGCTCTGACCACATAAATACATCGGGCAAGAGCGCGGCGCGCCTTAGAATGATTATGAGCTTCGACGGCGCGGTCTTGCCCGACACGATACGAGTTATGTAACAATAATATGATGATGTTTTAACGTGATTTATGATGTAAATGTAGAAACAGTAAAACGTAGTAATTAACAATAATGTGATACATAGATGTTAAGGGTGGGGGATGGCTTCGCAAAGTAGGGGTTAGATGTGTAATAGGCTAACCAACTGATAATATACGGAGCTAAGTGCGAGCCACCCCAACAAATGTAAGACGGGTCGATTTGAGCGAAATTTGTAAGCTCTCCGGCCCTCAAGATTTAAGAATAAAGAAGAAGTGAAAACCATCGAAGGAAGTTTCAATTATACAGTCCAAGCATCGGCTAGCTACGTGTAAATCTGTTCAAGATCCAGGAAGATCCGCAATAATAGAGCTATATATGAAATGGCAAATCAATTTATTGAATTCGTACTAATGAAAATTGAAATATCACTTTATTATTGCGACATGAAAGTCGATATTACTTGTACCGATTTAATGATCTAAATAAATACATTTGTAAACAGAGAGGATATTAATTACATTCGATTGTACATAACTTGTTCAACAAACGTCATTTATTTTCAGTTTTACATTTTGTGTCCACCAAGAGACTTTAATAGCCACTTAGGGGAAACTAAATTTGAAAATATTAGCAAACGGTGCTGGTGGGACCTCCTATAATTCATTAGAATTGGGTATTTTATATAAAACAATGGTAACTAAATGAACAATATTGTGTTAATGCCTCATATTTTTGCTAAACAGTTCTTCATTTGGGTTTTACAGAATTCACATTATTACCATGTTAAACAGCTTTTGAACATGACTTTAGTTGGTATTCACGATTTGCCTAAATATACCTAAGACCTGTACATTAGCTCTATTAGTGAGATTGCCATCGGTGACGTATGATATAGTGATGAAATCTTTCCCCGAATCTGAAGCAGCGTTGGCCGAGTTCAAAAACCTGGTTCAAATTATTTCACTCATAATATTAAGAACTTATCGCTGCTGACGAGATCATCGCGAACAAGCAAGTCCTGTAAACAAGGCACACCTATTTTTAATTTATGCGTATTAAGATAATACAGTACGAGTCACGTTTATTTCGCAAAGTAACTATTTAGTTTCGACAGCAGATAAGAAATGCTTTGTTGGTATACTTTTGGTACCGTTAATTCCATTTGAGCTGGTTTGGTCAAACACGACTTCCGCTTTTCTTGGAAAACAATGACTAGAGTATTGTGAAGGAAACTTGTGTGTATATTTGAGATACCTTTGTCTTATACTTTTTAACGTTTTGTTAATAATGATGATAATACTTATTCGGTCACGAAAATAATATTAAATGCATTTCTTAAATTACTAGGGGTTAGGTTAGATTAGTACGGAGATCTTTTAACGTCAACCAATTAAATATCTTCCTGTTTATTGGTATTTTTAGGTATTACATTAAATTGTATTCTAGACCATATTTTGAGTTGTATCAATCTAGCAATAAAGCTGTCTAACGCTTTAAATTTTAAATAACATGGTTCTTTTTGTTTGGTACTTACATGTATTCAAAAATTTCATTCTTTTATTTCTGATTCAGTTCAGTCAGTTTATTAATTTCTCCATTACAAAATATGAAGAATAAAACATACCCTAAGCATGCCCAATATAGATCTTTGGGTATCAGTAACAGCAGATGCAGTCAGAATGAACAATTTGGTGTTGCGGAACTACAGAGCGGCTTGAATGAATAACTTTTTGCTATTAAAACTCATTCGTTTTTCCTTCAGTCCAGTTAAGTTCAATCCCCATATGATTGGCCTTTACTAAATATCCAAAAAGCAAACCAAAGACAGTAACTACTCATGATCGAACTTCACATTTACCAACTTATACCCGCGTAACAAGAACTGTTTTATTATGAAATAGGAGCATGCCTGTTACGTGCCAATCAATCAGTGCATGAGTTTCAAACGACATGTTTACATTATCGCTGTAAGATTACCTAATACATTTAAATGATGTGGTTTTGATCGACTGAACTACATGCATGTTCTATTTTATATAATACTAATCATAGGAAGCAACTTCATAACCTCATGACAAATGCCATAAAATATCAGATAGATAAATTTGACGACAATAGATTTTGCTTTCTAGTTATTATAATTCTAAAAGATATGGTACTATTAATGTCAATATACTTTACCACAGATAAATAAAGTAATAAAATGAAAGCTATCACTATTTTACGTATCAAGTTGTACTTACTCGATTGCGTCAGTCATAAAATAAGACATTATTAATTCACAATGATTGCTAACTTTACTATTCATGGTTCTAATTTAATGTACTTTCAAGGGAGCTGCTGAAAGAGATACACTATTTTGTTCGTCCTATTTATTTAGAAATATCAAAAATTGTAATAAATAAATAAATTAATATATATGTATCTGCTTATATATAATTTAAAACTTTTTAGATAAAATAAACAGTCATCCAATTAAATTATAGATTAGTGTTTTACAATAAAACATAAGCTATTTTCAAGCAATGAATTTAGTACATATTGACTTTATTTAACCCAAGTTCACAATCTTTTGCTCGCTGTTAATTTGGAACGTGTTTGTCCAAAAGTTGTGTTTACAATAATAGTGTGCTAAGTTAAATCGAATTACCCAAACCACTCGAAATAGAGTGTCAACTAGGGTTGCTCCCGAAAATTCCGAAACCGGGAATGAATACCGGTACAAATGACCTCCGTGGCCGAGTTATTCGTTCGCCGGTTTCAAGGTGTAGCCATCTCCGAGGTCTCAGGTTTGATTCCCGTTCAAATCGATGTTGAAAATTAACTTTTATATATTGTGTCGGGTCTGGGTGCTGTGTTACTTTTGTTACCTTAGATACTTCATAATACGGGGACTTTAGCTACTCATCTTGGAATCTGAGCAAAGTATGTAATGTTTAATATTCATTTATTTATTTCTAGGACTCTCGCATCTAGTAGGGGGAAATCTGGAAGATTTAACCAGTTAGGAAATATTTAATAACTATGACCTCGAGTTCGCTGCCCGCTTGTTGCAATTTTGATTGAAGCTGGACAATTACAAGTTACAATGAGAATGTGAATTATATTAGCTTTGCTTTAATTTTTTCATTAATCGCACATATTTGTTCTCTATAGTTCTATGTATACATATCTCCTCTTTGCCCAACTCTGATCCCGTTATTTCGGGTCGGATCTCCAAAGAATTCTACATATGAAAAATATCAAAATATTTAACAGATGTTTTTTTCTAAGTAACTTTATTATTAAACCTGTTACATATTTAACAACAAAATTTTTGAAAAGACAAGTTACAACTATTGAGTACCGGCAATACCGGTTATAAGATTGTCAATTTTAGGGACCGAACCGGTTCTGCAAGCCCTATAGACAACATTTCCCCACTCGGGGTCCTATCTACGAAACATTATAAATGGCAACGAGCGATAACAGCAACGCCTTGCCCAGGTATTTAAATGAATATCTCTTATTATTTAAGAGAGTCGTTAAAATAAAGGTAAACTACCTTAGAGGTGCGCCAGGTGAAATTGAAAGCGATTGAAAATACTTCACTACGATTTTGCTATAGATAGACGAGCTATTTAAAATTAAAACTTTTCGCATTTTGATGTTTTTACCTGAAGGAAGAAAGAAGGAAGGTTATGTTTTCGCATTGTTTTAGTAGCCCAAGTGTTCTTAGATAGGTAACGTTAAAAAAAACAAATATGGCTGCGACGCCATTACATTAAATGTTTTTTTTTGTTTCAAATACTATATAGGTATCAAATTAAAGGCCTCAATATAAGAATTAAAAAAGTTATGTGCTGATTATCATTACCATAATACTAATAAAAATATTACCATGACAAATTTTAAAATAAAGACCTTGTTCTTTCACTCTTTGAACTAACCTGGTAATTTGTCTAACTAAAAAGTCATAAATAAAATTATAATTAAAATGAAATAAAACGCACGCAGGTGGGCGTGAAAAACAACTAACTGAAAAAGATGGAACAAGATACCAAATTTATGTAACATCATATATCATATATAAAGTGATTTACTATTGATCGTGAATAAAGATAATACTATTAATTGAAAGGATATAGCCTGATACAAATACGAGAAAAACGGAAATAATTCGATATAAGCCTGGAATATTTTAAATCGAGTTTGTGAGCCAATTACAAGAGACTATATTCAAGAATCCATCTCATTTTAGCTACGGAAGGTATAAAAAAAACATCAGGTCAAAAAACCTTCATTTATTCACGCAAAATTACTAAGACGATTTTTTTTACAAATTTTGGTTTTATTTATCATAGCGACAATGAAAATTACTGAAATCCAACTAAAAAAATTACAGGAAATAATGATTTTTAAGACTTAATTTTTTTTTGTTGTAGTTTAATATAATGAAACTTTTATTTGTATATTTATGAGTGGATTTTAATGTTGGCGGTAGGCGCAAAATTAGCAACAGTGTTTCTCTCAATTAATTTATTTTTAAAATAAGATATATACAGTTATTTAACCAAATTTTACCGTAAATTGTTAGATAAAACTTCCTCGTACCTTGTGGAATAATAAGTGTGATGTGTATCTAACAAAATAGCTTGCACTAACCTGCCATCACTACACTTTTGTACTTTCACAAATATCGAGCAACTGCACTTTCATATTATTTCATTATGACCAACATTGCAACGGTGCTTGAAACACAGAAGTCTCTGGAGTCTGCCTTGATGAGGAGGATGGAGGAATTCGAGACCCAACTAAAATCATCTTCGTCATCATCTTCAGAAAAAGCTCAGGTTCCCCAGTTACACACCGAGTTTAAATCCTTCAAACAACTTGTTTGGAATATTCTGTCTCTTCTTAGGCAGCAGATTGGTGAGGTGTTGATATCTCTAGACCAACAGGAAGCAAGACACCGTAGCAAATTTCTTCTCCTATGTAGTGTACCAGAAAAACCTGATGAAGAGCTTTGTTCCACAACTGTGTCACTACTTCAGAAGCATCTGAGTGTCAAAGAATTGCAATCTTCATCCATTAGATCATGCTACCGACTTGGATCGCTGACAAAGGGACGTGTTCGGCCTGTGGTTGTCCGCTTCACTGATCATGCACTGAGATCTACTGTGTGGAAATGTAAGACCAAACTAAGGGGTTCCTCCCTGGTTCTTAGAGAATTCCTCACTAAAACACGGCAAACTTTATTCTACGAGGCACGCAGGCATTTTGGGATGTCTAATGTATGGACAGCTGATGGAAATATTCTCATTAAAACTCCTAACGGGGATCGACTTAAGATCGCTTGCAACAATGAGTTAAGTGCAGCTATTAAAAAGTTCCCTGGCACTGCAATGGCGGATGAAGTGGAGGCTGGAGCGTCCAGTATGGGTTCCGCTCGCTCTGATTCAAAGCCAGCTCAAATCAGGTCCAAACGCATTGTTAAAATTGTTAAATAGTGAGTTCCCTATATATATTTTTTTTTCTCACATTGTTATTATATATTATTGCTGCAGCATGGCATGTTACATTGCATAATTACAATTTTCATATTTTGCTTGCTTGTGACCCTTTAGCGTTGGCAGTTCTTTTTGTTTTTGCTCACAGTAACTATAGCATTTTGTACTCGCTTTGCTAAATTGCGTCATAGCTTAAGTTTATGGTATTTGTTTATAATTAAATCTCGGCTTACTCACAAAATGATAAATATTATAATTTATATCGATCAAAAGTGTTCTTGTCAAATGTCAATGTCAAATTGTGTTTTTGTTTTTTGTACTTTCATATTTCTAAATGTAAAGGGATTTAGTCCTTACTGCCTGAGCTAAATTTTGAAACAAATCTTTAATGTGAGAAAACCACACTCTAATAATTGTATGTGTTTACGATATTTTATAAACCTCTCTAACCGGCAAGGAGTGCAGGAGGAAAATTACTTAAAATTATAGTGCCATTCATTTTATTTTAATAATATTATTTATTATTTGTATGTTATATTTATTTATTTTTTGTGTTTTTTATGTCAGATTATAGCGAATATAGTTCTGCAGATGACTCTAACTCCTCGTACCATTCTCTTGATACTTCGTCTTTAGGTGATGATGATTTAAGCACCCGCCTTGCTGCTGAGTTATCCATATTTTCGGATTATCTGAGGGTCTGTCATATTAATGCCCAGAGCATACCGTGTCACTATTCTGATCTCCTGAACACCTTTACTACCACTAACTCAGTGCATGCTATACTGGTGACCGAAAGCTGGCTCAAGCCTTGTTTAAATTCGGCTACTGTGGTACTTCCTGGTTTCACACTCTTACGCAATGACAGAATCGGCAAAGGCGGCGGTGGAGTGGCAATATATTTATCAAATACCATTCCGTATAAACTTGTCGCTTCCTCTATGTCGTGTTACGGCTGTTTGGAATACTTGGCTTTAGAAATCGTCGTCAAAGGTGTAAAGGTTCTTTTGACTGTAATTTACTGTCCCCCCACTATTCCCTATTCTTCCGATTTGGAATCTTTTCTCGAATCGTTTACAGATTACAAAAATCACATAATCATGGGTGACTTCAACACGGATCTTTTAAAGGCTACTTGCTCCTCTCGGAATCTGCGATCAATAATCGAGTCTGCGAATTTCTCCATCTTACCTCTTGGTTCTACACATCACAATTTGGCTACCAATGACTCATGGATCGACCACATTATTGTGTCCTCTCAGGACAACGTTCTCAAACATGGTCAATTATCTGCGCCTGGCTTTTCTAAACATGATCTCATTTATCTAGCATATAAAGTTAGATCTCCTAAACATAGACCTAAAATTGTACGTATGAGAAATTTCCTGAGGGTGGACGTAGAGAAGCTCAGACAGGATGCGGAAGCTATCGATTGGTCTCCTGTATATAACGCATCTTCAGTGAATGATATGGTGGTATATTTCAACACCATGATTTTGAATATTTTTGACATTCATGCTCCTATTAAAGACGTCAAACTTAAACGACCACCTGCCCCGTGGATAACACCTCTTGTCCGTATCGCAATGAGAAGGCGGGACAAAGCTTTTCGGGTATACAGACGGTGTCGTACTGAAACCAACTGGGGTGCTTACAAACATGCGAGAAACAGATGTAATCAGATGATAAGGGGAGCTAAACGCCGTTACATTAATTGCAATGTTATCAATTCAACTCCAGCCGAAATGAGGAAGTTTCTTAATTATATCGGCATCGGCAGAGCCCGAAGCCAAGACTCATGTTCCTTCGGTCTTGATGATCTTAATCGCCACTTTTCTTGTATTAAAACTCTGTCCAATAATATTAAATTTCTCACAATTTCTAAAATTACATCCACGGCTATGCCATCTGACACTTTCTTTACCTTTACTCAAGTAACAGAGGACGATATCCGCAACATAGTTCTTTCTATTAAATCTCAGGCCACCGGCTATGATAACATAAGTCGGAAGATGATTGTCTTACTACTTGATGCTATAATTCCTATACTTACTTTCATCCTGAACTATTCCTTATCTTCCGGCTCATTTCCTGTTGTGTGGCGTAAAGCCTATGCTATCCCTCTTCCAAAAGTCTCCAACCCCAGCTCCTTGAATCATTTTAGACCCATTTCCATTCTACCTTTTCTGTCAAAGGTACTTGAAGCGGTAGTTCATAAACAACTTTCCTCTTCCATTTTTCGCAACCAGCTTCTATCCCCATTTCAGTCTGGATTTCGACCTGGACACAGCACCACTACAGCACTTCTAAAAATCGTGGAGGATATACGTGATGGCATGGATGATACATGTCTTACTGTATTAGTCCTACTAGACTTCTCCAATGCGTTTAACTCAGTTGACCATGACGTCTTACTTGCTCTTCTCGCTCAGCTTGGATGTTCTTCCTCTGTGCTTGCTTGGTTCTCATCTTATCTTCGCGGGCGCCAGCAATCAGTACGGGTTGATCAATCGCTTTCCGATTGGGTTGACTTAATTGCTGGTGTGCCTCAAGGCGGCGTTCTTTCTCCACTTCTTTTTTCCTTATTTATAAACTTTCTCACATCTACTCTTTCAACCTCTTATCATCTGTACGCTGATGATTTGCAATTGTATGCTCAAGATAAACTTGAGAATTTGGATAGGGTCATTTTGCAACTGAATCAAAATCTATCTCGAATTTGGGAGTGGTCTCAAAGTTTTGGAATTACTGTGAATCCTGTCAAATCCCAGGCTATTATTATTGGTAGTCCAAGGCTGATTTCATTACTTAATATGAATGCAACTCCGCCTTTGTTATATAATGGGGTGGTAATTCCTTATTCTTCAAACGTGAAAAACTTGGGTGTAGTCTTTGACCGTACTTTGTCTTGGGAGGGGCACTTGGACAGTGTCAGTAGACGAGTTAATGGCACTCTTGGGGCTTTGTACCGACTAAAAAATTTACTTCCGTCCAGTACTAAGATTGTCCTCGTGCAGGCGCTTATTCATCCCCTCTTTGATTATGCTGATGTTTGTTTTTCTAACATGAACCAAATATTTCTAGACAGATTGGATCGTCTACTGAATAATACTATACGCTTCGTTTTCGGTCTACGTAAATACGACCATATCACTGAATTTCGTAATCAACTGAAATGGTTGCCCATCCGTGAACGCAGGTTCTTGAGAATAGTATGTTCTCTCTTCAAAATTCTTTACGATCCACATACTCCTGAGTATTTGAAATCTAGGTTTCAATTCTTAGGAGTCTCACATCCGAAGGAACTTCGCTCCAGTTGCAATCTTGTACTTCAAACTCCTGCTCACCATACTCGGTTTGTCTCGGATTCTTTTACCCTCACAGCCATAAGACTTTTGAATGCACTTCCTTTGAATATCCGGAATGTGTCAAACGGTTTCGTATTTAAGAGAAAAGTACGAGAATATTATCTCCAATCAATTCGTGTGTCCTAGTCTTCGTTTATCAGTATGTACATATATATATATATATTTGTATGTCTATGTATTTTTTATATAAGTTTATAGTGTGTATGTATATATTTGTATTTTATATATAATTTGTTGGTATAATTAGTTATAAATTGTAACTTTGTTCTTCTATGATACCGCCTTTTGAATGCTCTGTACACCTTCACCGGTTTGACTGGTAGAGAATGCCTTTTTGGCATTAAGTCCGCCATTGCTATGTTATAGGCATAAAGATTAAATAAATAAAATAAATAAATAAATAAACATGCAGTCGGAGGAATGAAATTGAATAACAAATCAAATCTTTTTTTCTTTGTTCATACCTCCGACTTTATGTTACGTATGATCTTGCATAAATTTTATATTTTATTCGCGCCTTTTTATTTAATTGTTTTTTTTTAATTAATATTGAAGGTACCTAATATAATTTACAAGCAAACAGGTCCCTGATACATAAATTTTGATACTCGATGTGTTTAACATGTTTTTCTATTTTTTAAATGTTGTAATTATGAATACAATTCCTCTTTCAAATATATTTAGTTAATAAAGAAATCCACTCTCGTATAAGTTTAAACATATACGCCACTAATATTGATACAAGTAAACCCTTTTAAAACTATTGCATGCCATCTTATACACTATCTTTTAAAAAGTAAACAAACCAAGGTGTTTGTGAAAAACAAAAATGCATGAGTCATGTGGCGACAACACCACCGCATAGAGCATGCTTTCGCATTATCTAGGCATCTGGAGACAATGGCTCGCGCATGCGTAATGCGTTATCTTGAATCGAATGTAAAGCTCCTAGCACATAGAATAGAGTATATTGCAAAACCACCCATTTTTTTGTGACTTCATCTATATGAACTTCGTAAATCTAAAATTCTACATGTTGAAACTTTCAGCGGGATTCATTTATTATACTATGAGCTATCAAATACATTAATTATTAAACAAACGTCCATAGCATTATTTGATTAATCATCCATTGACTTGAATGAGTGGAAGAATTGAGTTTCAAAAGATTGGGATAAATGTTAGTTACCAATATTGGATGAACGATAATTTTAGACTACGGTTTTCCGCATTTTGTTTTAAATATAAGTATCAATTGATGGAATAATAAGTACATAATAAAATATACAACTACAAAGAAAAAAAAAATAAACTCAATGAAATGAAAGTAGTACCAACATTAATTGACGTTTAAAAAGAGCCATGATCTTTTCAAAGCCGCGTTTTATGAGAAGTAGTCTTAATGCGTTATCTGACATCGTGCTCTTACGACAACGCGCGCCTAATGAGAATCTGTTCTACTTCGAGCGATGTGCTAATTGAAACCCTAGAGAAATTCGCCTCCATATTAACTGGTAAACAATGGGGATAAATATGGCACGGTATGAAATAATTTGCCGAGTTAGTAAAATAGGACTATAATCTGTACTTATATAGATAATGCGTCGCTGTCTAAGATATTGTTAATTATTT